TTTTTTTTTTTTTTTTTTTTGCAAAAAGCAGAGGGGGAAAAAAGGAGACTGAAGGAGCGAGGAGGCGAGCCTGAGAGAAAGGAGAGAGAGAGAAAAGAAAGGGCGAGGGGCTAGTGGAGAAGTGAGGAGGGGCGTGCGGCGCCAGGCGGAGAGAGGGCGAGCAGTCGCGGCTCCAGCGCTCACATTCCTCTATGCTACAAATCCGGGAGGAAGTTTTTTTGGGGGGCTGAGATGATCCACGCCTTTCCCTGGGCAGTCTTGACGCGGAGTCCTCTCGGCAGAGACTGAGCGGCGAGAAAGTGCGAGCCGGGCCGGCAGGGTCTGCTGGGCGGGCGCCGGAGCCCGCCTTGCTCGCGGCCCGCAGCCGTCTGGCTTCTCCGCGCTTGGCCAGGCGGGCGCACCGGTGCGCCGCGCCGCTGCCTGCGGGCTAGGACTTCGCGAGGTGGGTCGACTCCTCCTCCCTCCTCTTCTTCTTCCTCCTCTTCCTCCACCTCCCGTTCCTCCTCCTCCTCTTCCTCCTGATTTTCCCTCCTCGGCGGGCGAGGGTGGGGGGGGCGGGGGAGGCCGGGGCTTGCCCCGAGCAGCCACGATGCTCCTGGACGCCGGCCCCCAGTACCCCGCGATCGGCGTGACCACCTTTGGCGCGTCCCGCCACCACTCGGCGGGCGACGTGGCCGAGCGCGACGTGGGCCTGGGCATCAACCCGTTCGCCGACGGCATGGGCGCCTTCAAGCTCAACCCCAGCTCGCACGAGCTGGCCTCCGCAGGCCAGACGGCCTTCACGTCGCAGGCGCCCGGCTACGCGGCTGCCGCGGCCCTGGGCCACCACCATCACCCGGGCCACGTCGGCTCCTATTCGAGCGCAGCCTTCAACTCCACGCGGGACTTTCTGTTCCGCAACCGGGGCTTTGGTGACGCGGCGGCGGCGGCCAGCGCGCAGCACAGCCTGTTCGCTGCTTCGGCCGGGGGCTTCGGGGGCCCACACGGTCACACGGACGCCGCGGGCCACCTTCTCTTCCCCGGCCTTCACGAGCAGGCGGCGGGCCACGCGTCGCCGAACGTGGTCAACGGGCAGATGAGGCTTGGCTTCTCGGGGGACATGTACCCGCGTCCCGAGCAGTATGGCCAGGTGACCAGCCCGCGTTCGGAGCACTATGCCGCGCCGCAGCTGCACGGCTACGGGCCCATGAACGTGAACATGGCCGCGCATCACGGCGCCGGCGCCTTCTTCCGCTACATGCGCCAACCCATCAAGCAGGAGCTCATCTGCAAGTGGATCGAGCCCGAGCAGCTGGCCAACCCCAAAAAGTCGTGCAACAAAACTTTCAGCACCATGCACGAGCTGGTCACGCACGTCACCGTGGAGCACGTCGGCGGCCCCGAGCAGAGTAACCACATCTGCTTCTGGGAGGAATGTCCGCGCGAGGGCAAGCCCTTCAAAGCCAAATACAAACTGGTCAACCATATCCGCGTGCACACGGGCGAGAAGCCCTTCCCCTGCCCCTTCCCTGGCTGCGGCAAGGTCTTCGCGCGTTCCGAGAACTTAAAGATCCACAAAAGGACGCACACAGGTAGGGAACCGCTGCTCTGGACCCTGTTCCCCCATCCTGGGCCTGGGACCCGAAATCCGAAAGTCAGCGGCCGGGGGCGCACAAACCGGGCCTTGGTTGGGTCTGGGCGTCAGGCTCAGCAGGCAGGCAGTGAAAGCGCGCGCTGGTTTCTAGTTTGAGGTTGGACATTACGAAAAAGTATAGAGGGGGTCGGACGAGAAGGATCTAGGGATATAGATTTTAAAACGAGGACTAAAAACGGCCGGGAGAGCAGAGAGACGAGCCCGGCTTTGCGGAGCCCGTGGTGCGCGCGAAGCCGGGGAGGCGGCCAGCGCCCGGCGGCGGCGGAGGCGCCGGCAGCTCCAGCTGCAGACAAATCTAAACGTTTGCTTCCGGCCAACATCCCTCTCTACGCACTTTGGTGAGGACCTTGTCAAAGGAACGAACTGAGAAAATGGGAGGAGATCAGACGAAGGGGCATAGAAAGAAACAAAACCAGAAAAAGACAGGAAGGGGGGTGGTGGGGAAAGCGAGTAAGTCGGGCCTGAGGAGGCTTTTGGAGCCTTATGCATATTTAAAGAGCCGAATTTTAGTAGTGACTTGTTTGTGAGTAGGCTTGAGGAGTCGGGAGAGTCGGTGGAAGACAGGGAAATCCTTTTTGGCAGTTAGATTCTGAGGCGGTTTTCAAAATACCGAATACCTTGCGTTTGCCTTTAAAAAGAAAGAGACCGGTCAGGAATAGTTAAAAAAAAGTTCGCGGCGAGCTCAGGACTGTAGTCTGGGTCCGGCAGGCCATTCTGGGCCACTTGCTCCGACAAGGCCGGGAATCCGGTCTGCTTCCCTGTTCTGGTGTGCCGGCGTGATTTCTGAGAACTGCGTTTGTAACTTGGGGTTTAACGCCGGGAGCCCAGGAAGAATTTGCGGCGCCGAGCTCTCGGCCCAGGTTACCTTATAAAATGTGAGTGTGTGTAGGGGGTGGGGTGGGGTGGGGGACGCGACGAGGGGGTTGCGGAGCGTCGGGGAGGGGGTAGGGGGAGGAGAGAAGAGCAAAACAGCGGGAGAATCAGCCCGGAAAGTGAAAATTAGAAACCAAGAGCTAGGTAGAAGCCGCCCGAAGTCGTCTGTACAGCCCCGGGCAGAAAAACCAGCAGCCAGACTTGCTGCTACTCTGGGATCTAAAAAACTACCGCTAATACTAATAGTAATATAGTAAAATCTGGATCTACTTGGATTAGGAGTTACAATAGTTCAGATATTTATAATTCCACTTGCAGATACATGACTTTGTGGAAGACCTGGGTTTTTGAGCTTGTAAAATGCTAACCCTGGGCCGCTGCCTTTTTAATTTTTTTCCATTTGTATAAATTTTAAAAAACAGCCACGGGATTTGTTCTAATCGGACCTCTCTCTTCCTCGCCTTTCGCACCAGGGGAGAAGCCCTTCAAGTGCGAGTTCGAGGGCTGCGATCGACGCTTCGCCAACAGCAGCGATCGCAAGAAGCACATGCACGTGCACACGAGCGACAAACCCTATCTCTGCAAGATGTGCGACAAGTCCTACACTCACCCCAGCTCGCTGCGCAAACACATGAAGGTAATCGCCGCGCTGTCGCCGCCCGCCTTGGAGCCGGGAGCCCGCTCCGCTCTTCGGCCGGGGCCGGGCGGCGAGTGGCGGCCGGGCGGTGGCAGGAGCCGGCGGAGGCGGAGAGGCAGCGGTTCCACGCTGCTGAGTAATGCTGGGGGGGTAGGGGTGCTGGAAAAGGGGGTGGGGGCACCCCAGGCCGTGCTGAATTTGCTGTTTAATAATCAAAGTAAAAAGAAGTGAGCGCTTGAGCAGAGGCCGCGGCTGATCGTGACCCAGATGGGGAGCGAGGGCCGCACCCGCGGGGGACGCGGCCGGGGCGCCGCCATTGTGCCAGCAGCCTCGGGAGGAGGAGCTGGGGGCTCGCGCGCGGTCCTGGGGTGCTCGCAGGCCGGCTCAGCTAGACCTGAGCAAGCGCTTTGAGGGACCCCCTCGGGCTGCGGCCTCAAACCCAGCGTCCCGCTTCTCGGATCCCTTTTCCCTTTGTGAGTCCGGGCCGCTGTCGCTCCGGGAGCGCTGCCTCTGCAGGGCCGAGTCCGGCCGCTCGGGCCTCCCCGGAGCTCAGGGGGCTCCGCGCTCCGGGCGCGCGGGCGTTCGCGGCCTCCCCCGGCCCAGGCGGCCTCCGCGCCGGCTCCCTGTCTGCGTAAAAACGCGGCTTTATTCCCGCAGGTCCACGAATCCTCCTCGCAGGGCTCGCAGCCTTCGCCGGCCGCCAGCTCGGGCTACGAGTCGTCCACGCCGCCCACCATCGTGTCTCCGTCCACCGACAACCCGACCACCAGCTCCCTGTCGCCCTCCTCCTCCGCGGTCCACCACACGGCCGGCCACGGCGCGCTCTCCTCCAATTTTAACGAATGGTACGTTTAAAATCGGAACCGGAACACCGAACAAAACCCTATTTAAGAGACTGCACACACACATACACAGAATAGTGCCGGGAGAACCCTGCGGATCAGAACAGCCCCCAGCCCCGCAATCCTATTTTTTTTAAACCTGCCAATAGACCCAGAACCGAGTAAGAGGGAGAAAGCACCAAACCTTTACAATTTTTTTTCTTCTTCTTGTTTCTTTTTTGGCAAAGGCTTGGTAGCCAAGGGGCGGGAGGGGGGTCGAGGAGAAGGCGGCCGCCCGACCGAAGCCGCCAGCCCCGAGGGCCGGTTTCTCGTCGGAATTGGAGTGGGCGCTCTGAGCTTCGGCTTTTTTTTTTTTTTTGCTTTGCATTTTTGTAAATACAGAATTATTAGCTTAAAACTGTACTGTTGGATTCTGTAAATAGTTATATCTCGGTTGGAGCGGGCGGGTGGGATTGTGGCGTTGTGGTCTTTGCATTGG